GGGCAGGCCACAAAACGGAGGTCCCCTTCCCGCAAAACAGGAAACTAATATTGACAGGAAGTGAGGTGCCTAAGGGATGGCGGGCAGGCCACAAATTTATCTTTCAGCTTCTGAGACAGTACACTTTATGGACAATCTGGAAACGAAGATGTCAGCAGGTGGTGGGCAAGATTCTGATGACAAGAATGGAAGCCAAGGCAATGCTCTATAGCCTGTTGGAGACAGAGATTAGGGCGTTATGGAGAAGAACAAAGAAACAAGTGGCTCTTAACCCAGAAAGGGCAAAGGATACCTTAACCAAATTCCAGAAAAGGGTACTAGCCCAGGGCAAAGTTGCGACCATGGAAGGAGAGAGACTTATCTTCCATTGGTTCAAAGAGGAGCTCCAGGAGGAGACTATAAATGATCGACCTTTGACACAGGAACTGAGGCTGCCATTACAAATAAAGTGAGGCAAGGCAAGGAACGGTAAGTGAAGGGGGTAGTCAGGTACAACAAATATGGGTTATGGGTTCGGAAGACAACATTAGGGGAGAAATGAAAGTTTAGGACAGGAGGAGGAGAGAACCTACAGTTGAGGGTTTAGGGTTTAGGGTCTGGTCAGAACTAGGTCAAACAGGGTTCAGAATGACAGACTTTTCATGTGGCTCACAAGGGAGATTTACAGTTTACACAAAATTGGCAGCTTTGGCAGCTTCTGAGACCTTTCTCGCTAGTCATGCTTTATACGACAGGTTTTCACGGTAGAACTGAGAGGAAAGGATGAAGCAGGGCAAGCTGACAGTTAATCCTCCACGATGCTGGAGCATTCAATGCTGGTCAGGGGTCCTTCGGCCGGACGGAAGGAATTGTGGGGAGTACTCATGATGTATCCTTTTATTCTGACTTGCCGGTGAAATAGGAACCGGACTGATGCTCCCCATGAAGTAAAGCAGAGACCGCTGTGGGTAAGGTGGCCGGGCCGGAGGATTTCTGCAATCAATGGAGAGACAGGCACAATTCGGAAACAGAGGGGAGTAGACAGGTGTTCCAGATACCAAGCGACCAAGGTCCAACACAGGCACCGTGAGCTGACAGGCTAAGTTGCTTCAGGGGACTTCAGTTTCTGGAAAAAATAAAAACTATAGTTGAGGGTTTAGGGTTAAGGGTTTGGACAGAATTAGGGCAAACAGGGTTCAGAATAGCAGAGTTTTCACGTGGCTCACATGGGGGATTTACAGTTTAGACAAAATAGGCAGCTTTGGCAGCTTCTAGGACCTTTCTCGCTAGTCATGCTTTATACGACAGGTTTTCGCAGTAGACCTGAGACGAAAGGATGAAGCAGGGCAAGCTGACAGTCAATCCTCCACGATGTTGGAGCAATCAATGCTGGTCAGGGGTCCTTCGGCCGGACGGAAGGAAGCGTGGGTGAGTACTTAAACAATGTATCCTGTAATTCTGACTTGCCGGTGGAATAGGAACCGGACTGATGCTCCCCAGAATGGAAATGGAGCCAGGACCATAAGGGCCTGTTTAAAAAAAAAAAAAAAAAAAAAAAAAAAAAAAAAAAAGGAAAACCAGTTTTCCGAAATCACACAGATGTCCAGGTAGTCGTATCCAAGCAGAGAGTACAACATGCACAGAGAAACCATCCATATAGAGCAAGACAATGAAGTAATGAGCCATCGTTCAAGCCCTTAGGCCACACCAACACAGTATCCAAAGTCGCTCCTCTCTGTCTGGCGCCCATCGCCTAATCTACTCTGCCCGACTATCCTACCTACAGCTGGTTCACGCAACAGGCTCACCTCGACTCTCGAAGACCAATGTACATGACCGTCAACAACATAGCCGACCTCTCTTCATGCACCAGGTATGTATCTCGTCACCCTCTATCAGACCTTGATTACCCCACACTGCGCCCCCCTCCCTGAAGACCACCAGATCACTCGCTATACCCCCTGGCACCCAGCAGCCCGGCTATGGCCGCCTGCGCCCTGCTGCCCTGCAGCGCCCCTCCTTCACCACCTCGCGCCCCGTCAGCGCCTTTGGCAGCAGTGCAGCATCAAGCGAGAGCGCAGCAGCACTTCCGCATCGCCAGCACTGGCCACAATATCTGGCCTGGGCTGCCTTCCTCCTTTTGTGGAAGTGGCAGCCTCCTGGATGCTGTGTGTGGCCTGCCTGGAAGCTTCCAGTAGCTTCCGGTTGGGCCTCAGACCCTGCACCCAGGCCCGAGACTACAGTNGTTGGGCCTCAGACCCTGCACCCAGGCCCGAGACTACAGTTGAGGGCCTGGGCCCTTTACAGTTGGGCACGGCCTGAGTCTCCGGACTTGGGCTGCTTGCTGCATCTGTGCAGGGCTCCCAGGAAGGTGTGTCGGCAGTACTGCTTTTGCCAAGGCCAACAGCCTGCTTCCCAACGTATCGGCCCTGCTTTGTGTGTATGTGCCCAGGCGCAACTGTCAAGGCCTGGGCCAACTGTATGACGCAGCTTTGTGAGGCTCACTCGTCTACCCAACTAACTGGCGTGCTGCAAGAGCCTGAATACCGACACACGGAAATGTCGAAATTTGCCTCTGACGAATATTCAGGCTAGCCTTCACTTAGGGCGGGCACTTGGATTGCTGGGGGCCTTAGCCCAGATCATGTGATGTCTGATAGGGTCCCTTGAGGGCTCATTCCTCACATTCCATCCCCCTTAGCTTCGAAAGTCCGCTCAGATGCTTCATGCTGGTGCCTTCCCCTTTAGCTTCTTCTCATAATCTGCCACAATCTGAGGAGCTGTCTTGATAAGTTCCTCTCTTGAAATCCATCGATCTTCCTTCGGATCAGTATGATGCCTGAAATGTACTCTGTACTCCCTTGCAGGTTTAGGAGGGCTTCCCCTGCCAGGTGGCTTGGGAACATGCGTGTCTCTGTGATCCAGAATGTCGTCAACGTCCACGTCGTCATCCATGGTTGGGGGCAGCATAGATCTCCGTGATGGGAACTGTGCTGTCTCAGCGAAAGGTGCAAGCTTGGAAGCGTGAAAAACGGGGTAAGTGCGTAGGTGACCAGGCATACGAATAACGTACGAGGGACCATCCAAATCATTCCCCACAATGTCTAAGACTTCCCAGGGACCGAAATACTGAGGCGTTAGTTTCCTAGAGATGCCAAACTCCTGTCCCAACTCACTAGCCTTGACCCAGACATGTTCCCCTACCTGAAATGTGGACTGTCGACGACGTTTATTCTCAGAAGCAATCATAGCTTCCTGAGATTTCTTGATATGTTCGACAGTCTGCTGCAACAATTTCTCATACTGGACACCAAATTCAATGGTCCCAGGAGTTGCAGCAGGTCGGTTTTTGGGCAGGAGGAAGTCTAGAGCAGATCTAGGCTTCCATCCCAGATGCAGCTGATTAGGACTGACGCCGGTGGTGCTGTGTACAGCGTTGTTGTACAGGCTGGCGATGAGAGGTAATTTCTCATCCCAGTCATCCTCACTGGGCTTCATATAATGCCTCAGCAGATGCTGCACCACTCGGTTCATCTGTTCAGCCTGCCCATTTGCTTCGGGATGATTCCCAGAAGTCATCTGAAGCTGGCTGCCCATCTGTTTAGCGGCCTTCTTCCACATCTCATGTGAAACGCACATCTCTGTCACTAACGATTGTCTTTGGAAGTCCAAACTCACGCACCCANCCTTCTTCCACATCTCATGTGAAACGCACATCTCTGTCACTAACGATTGTCTTTGGAAGTCCAAACTCACGCACCCAGTTGTCCATGAACATCCTGGCTGTTTCCGGCATGGCAATTAGTCTAGAATACATAGTGAACCTATCCACTATGACGAAGATATGCCTCTTGCTATTCTTGCTGGAACGAGAGTGTTCATGAAGTCCATGGAGATACTCTGTCATGGGCCAGCAGGAATGGGTAGAGGCTTGAGTAACCCAAGCGGAGCTTGAGTCCGCGGCTTGTCCCGCTGACAGACCTGACAGGTCTGTACGTTTTCTTTGCATCGTCTAGCATGTTAGGCCATCAAAATCGTTGTACTAAGTTAGCACTAGTCTTCTTATAGCCGAAATGTCCCGTTGCGTCGTGGCATTCTCCTAAATATAAACTACGCAAATCTTCCCTAGATGGAACAACTAGTCTTTTAAACCCTACCTTCTCAAGAAAGAGCAACCCATCCAGCATCACAAACTCGTCAGTAGTGGCCTTGTCTTTGGCCTGAAGTTTGTTGATGATGTCCATCGTGATGGGATCTTCCTTGTAGGCTTCCCCCAAAGATCGAGTCACGTCATCAGATAAGCCAAACTCATAAATCAGCGCACCTAGGTAGTCTGCCCTCCTAGACAACGCATCCGCAACCTTGTTGTACTCTCCCTTCACATAGTCTGGTTTAAAGTCATACTGATCTATGACTTCAATCCAGCGTTCGAGTGCATCGGAGAAAACTGGTTGGGTCTTGATCCACTTAAGGGTTTGATGGTCAGTTCTCAAATGGAAAAACCTCCCTAACAGATAGTGTGTGGCATACTGCGTAGCCACACGGGCCCTGCGGGGCCCGTCCCGGACATTCAGCCTAAAAGCCTAAAACTTAGGGCTTACAAGCCCTGGTCGTTTCAGCCTGAAAGCTGAAAAACGAGGGCCTGCAGGCCCTACTCCGTTTCAGCCTATTTCTGGGTCTTTCAGACCCAGAGTTTTTCCAGCCTGAAACAGAGGGCCATTTTCAGGCCCTCATTGTTTCAACCACCCCTAAGACTCAGGCTCGGAAACAGGGTTGCAGGAACAGGCTAGAAATAGCCTGTTCCCACGACCTTGAGCAGGAACTGCAGCGGCAGCCCCTGCCTCCGATCGGCATTGGCAAGAGCAGCCTCCTGGACTGCTCGCCTGCAGTCAGGAGGCACCCGGGTAGTTCATAGGGCTTCCCAGGCACTTCAGCGGTAGGTGGACAGTAGTCAGGTGGTAGTCTTCAGGATAGCGGAGCAGCACTCAGGAGGAGCGCTGCTCAGGGCAGCTTAGCGCTAGTGGTAGTCTTCAGCGTTGGGCGCCATAGCTATAGTCTTCAGCGCTGGGCGCTATAGCAGTAGTAGTAGTGATACAGGAGAGAGAGGCCTGGCGGAGGCCAGTGGTACTTACCTGTGGCGCCATCGCTCCAGCTCCATCTTCGAGGTACCTGCATCACAACGCCACCTTCACAGGTTAGTACTGGACTAAGAGAGAGAGAGAGTTCTTCTTCTTCCTCTTTTAATGCCACCATCTCTTCTTCCCCTCTCACTGCCTACTTCTCAGTATATGTGGACTACGAGAGAGAGAGATATGACCTGGGACTTCACGACATTGGATACAGACTCGACATTTGGGATTCAGACATTTTGACGAGGGACTATT